TTCTACTGGACAGCCCACAGTAGGGCAAAGAGGCCGAGGAGATCCAAGGTGGCTTACAACATTCTCCTCTCCTCCATTTTAACCTCACAACGACCCTGTGAGGTAGGTTAGGCGGACAGTAAGTGACAGGCCGAAGGTCACCCAGCAACTTTCCATGGCACGAGTGAACCTGGGTCTCCAAAACACTAGTCTGACACTCTTCACCACCACACTGCACTGGCTTTTCGCTTGCCATCGCCTGCCTCTGTGTAGTGATCCTGGATTTCCTTGGTGGTCTCCCATCCGAGTACTAACCAGGGCTGACCCTGCTTATCATCTGAGACCTGATGAGATCGGGCTAGCCTGAGCTGTCCAGGTCCAGGCAGATAAAAGGAACAAAATAAGTGTCACCCAAAAAGTAGAGTGGCAGATTAGTTTAGGTGGGCTGAACAAAATACTAGACAGACGGCTATTAGGCACGCTAATTAAACGGAACTCTCGTGCCCAAAGGCAATATATCTTGGGAGTGCTAGATGCCGGAGACAGGCCGTGGACAGCCGACTGCCTGCGTCCAGACAGAACGTCAGAGCAGACAGATCACGCAAGGCAACTGGCATTTGCCTCCTTCCAGTACGTGCCCTGTGTCTGCAGACAAGATCATCTACGAGATATTTAAAGGTATTTTCACTGATAACGTTAAGGTTGGGCAAACCATTCATTATTTCTATTTCTTCTTACTTAACAGAAGTAAAAGAGCTTCCAGAAATAAACATGGGCACGCTTAACAGCCCAGCTGCTTGAGTCAATTAAAGCTGCCGCTGATTCACAGAGCAATTAAAGTTGACCACTCTTCTTCTAAAAGCTCAGTGAATGAGCCCTACGATCGCTGCCCCTGTGTGTTACCTGGCTGCACCATGGCACTAAGATGCTAAACTGACAGGTCCAAAATTAAAAAGCACGCCAGGCCCTTCCCATCCACAGAACATGCCTTCAGTGCAGCCAGAGAGAGGAACGGGGAGGGGTTGACCTTTTCCCCAAACAAATCTTGCAGGTGTTACCCAAATGAAGACAAGCTGCAAGAAAGCAGGAAGGAGGTGATGGAAGAGTGGGGTCGACTCCAAAGGGGAAGGCCATGTGAATATGTAGTAGGCCGTGTGGATTCACAGGCGCCCTTACAGATGTGCTGGGCACTGCAGCTCACGCTGCTGGCATCTCCTGTGACAGCTGCAAGCACATCTGGCAGGCTCCTGGAATACCGGCATTCACGTTTCGGGATCTTTACAATTGGTTCATGTGATCTTGCTGCAAGCACCTGAACGGGTTGGGCTCATCATTTTGGTACTGATGGATACACGGCATCCAAACGCGTCTCAGATGGCGCTTTTTATTGTTTTCCAAAGGAGTGCCACATGGTCCTTCAGGGAGGGACACATCTCAAAGAAAGCATTTGGTGCAACCTCAGAGCTTGCTGCCCTATCGGATACTAGAAGAAGAAGAGAAGAGATTGGATTTATATCCCGCCCTTCACTTGGAGTCTCAGAGCGGCTTACAAACTCCTTTCCCTTCCCCTCCCCAGAACAGACACCCTGTGAGGTGGGTGGGGCTGAGAGAGCTCTGACACAAACTGCTCCTTTTCAAGAACAGCTCTTATCAGAACTACGACTTGCCCAAGGTTATCCAGCCAGGTGCAAGTGGAGGAGTGGGGCATCAAACCCGGTTCTCCCAGATTAGAGTCTGCGCACTTAACCACGACACCAAAGTGGCTCTCCTACTAATCCATCTGGTTGCACTGCCCCTTTACATCCTCTACAACGCCCCTCCCACCTTCGGGCTAGGATAAAAGGACCCCGAGACCTCCATTTCTACTCTGCTCATGTCTGACAAAGGGAGCACTTTGACTCTCTCCAATCGTATACCCTGAAACTCTTGTTGGGTCTCTAAGGTGCCGCTGGACTCGAACCGAACTAATCCCTGTGGTGTTGGCCACTGCAGTATGGCGAGCAGGGCGCAGGACAGAGGTGATACAGATTCAAAGCCACAAGGTCCATCCTGTGCCCTCTGGCAATCCCTTACCTCTCGTCCAAAACTACTCCACGGGATTGTTAGGAGTACCACATGGAATCCTTATTATCTATGCTTTCAGTCTCCTCCTTCCTCACGGTGCTCGGCACATGTGGGTCTCCCCCGGTGCTCCCTCTACGCTGAGTTAGTGTGAGCTAGCTCACAGTTTTCTAGCCTCCGGCTCACACATTTTCCTCTTAGCTCAGGAAGGAAGGCTCCAGAGCAAACTAATTTATGCAGTGGCCAAATCACCTGCTCACCACTTTAATGCAAGAAGCCCACAAAGTAGACTTTTTGCTCGCAGGACTCCACAGCTTAGAGGGAGCCTTGCATGTGGGTCTCCCCCTCTCGTTTTGGCCTCATAGCTGCCTTGTGTGGTACGAGAGCCAGTTTGGTGTAGTGGTTAAGTGCGCGGACTCTAAACTGGGAGAACCGGGTTTGATTCCCCACTCCTCCACTTGCACCTGGCTGGATGACCTTGGGCAAGCCGTAGCTCTGATAAGAGCCGTTCTTGAAAAAAGAGCCGTTTCTCTCTCAGCCCCACTTACCTCACAGGGTGCCTGTTGTGGGGAGGGGAAGGGAAAGGAGATTGTAAGCCGCTCTGAGACATCTTTGGGTAGTGAAGGGCGGGGTATAAATCCAATCTCCTCCTCCTCCTCCATGAAGCTCAGAGACCAGAGTCCAGGGTCACTCGGTGGGTCTTGTGGCAGAGTGGAGATCTGAACCCCGGCTTCCTTGCTTCTAATTCCACACGCTGACCGCTATGCCACACCAACACGACACCCGCACTGAGATCTCCCAAGGACTGAACTCTCTCTTGAAGCTAAAATCACTAAACTGAGGCTACTGTACCCCTGGCCACTTTATGAAAAGACAAGAGTCACTGGAAAAAGACAATCGTGCTAGGGAAAGTCGAAGGCAGCAGGGAAAGAAGAAGACCCAGCAGGAGATGGACGGACTTCGTCAAGGAGGCGCAGTTTGCAAGACCCAAGCAAGGCGGCTAACGAGACGATGCTTTTGGAGAATGTTAATTCAAAGGGTTATCATAAGTCGGAAGCAACTTGACACCACTTAACACACACATACACCACACACACACACACACACACACTCTGCCCTGAGTTTCTTGGAGGAGTGACATAAATAAATGAAGCGGAAAACTGCAGGGTGTTGCTTTTTTAAAATATACACCACACACACAATTTCCTAGCAATCATTCTGTGGAGCAAAGGCGGCCCAAAAAAGGGTGTTGTAACAATGCCACCTACTGGGGGAAAAAATAAGACAAGTCCAACTTTCGGGCTCTGTGAGAGGAGCAAAGCGCCAGTGATGATGGCAGTCATTTTAGGCTTCCCTCTCAGGAGGCGGTTCCCACGTCGCACCCTGTTTCAAAGCCAATCCCACGGGAAGTGTTCCAAGGCGAGAGGCAGGTGGGGAAAGTTTCAGCTTGAAAAATCTTCATGGACTTTACAGGGATAGCAGGAATTCTCATCAGCTCCCACTGCCTCCCCAGATTTTAAACTCCTATGTTGCATTTCCCACATGAGCCACTCCAAAAAGCATTTAGATGGGAGGAAATGGGTTTGCAGGAGGATCTTGCATTGGGGTGATCGCAGGTCCTAAGACTGGATGTACTCAAAGCCTTTGAAATCAGAGCTCTACACTAAGCAAACAGTAATTTTGAATAGATGCAGGTGGGCAGCCGTGTTGGTCTAAAGCGGCAGAACAAACTGAGTTCAGTGGTACCTTTAAGAAACACATCTGAAGAAGTGTGCGTGTGCACAATAGCTTAATACCCAGACTAAAACGTTGTTGGTCTTAAAGGTGCTGCTAGACTCAAACTTTGTTCCAGTAGTTTTGAATTTTCACCAGGCATTGCTTGCACTCTCTCAAAGACTTTTAAGACACTGAGGCCTAGAAACCTGGCTTGTGAAAAAGAGCCAAAGTTGTCTCCCAAGCCCAATTTATGTGCTCCCCTGGTGCAACTGGAAATACTGGAACAAAATAATTCCCCTCCCATTACAAAAGCTGGTTATGAGGATAATCAAGTCCTATCTTCCTGGTGAGGAGGATCTGATCTCTCATGAGGGACCGCCTTTCCCCGCATGTTCCCCCAAGGGCACTACGGTCGGGGAATCAAAATCTACTGGATGTTCCAGGTCCCCGGTCCATCAAACTGGTCACGACCAGGAATAGGGCATTTTCAGTGGCGGCTCCTATCTGGTGGAATGAGCTCCCGGAGGAGATCAGGGCTCTGCAGAACCTAGCGCAGTTCCGCAGAGCCTGCAAGACGGAGCTCTTCCGCCAGGCTTTTGAATAGGAGCCACCGCCACCACTGTACCATCAAAGCCCCTTGATTTCTGTGTATAGCCATCAGGATGCGGGCATCTTGGGTAAGAATGGGACGTTTTAGGGGACAGCCATCTTGTTTTTAGAAATCTTAACTTTGGAATTGGTTTAGAGGAGCACCAAAATTGTTATTAATTGTGATGTATTTTTAATATTTTGTATTGTTTTATCTGGCGATATGCCTTGTAAGCCGCCCTGAGCCTGCGGGGAGGGCGGGATAGAAATGTAAATAATAAATAAATAAATGAGAGCCAGTTTGGTGTAGTGGTTAGAAACGTGGACTCTAATCTGGGAGAACCGGGTTTGATTCCCCACTCCTCTACATGCAGCTGCTGGTGTGACCTTGGGTCAGTCACAAGTTCTCTCGGAGCTGTTCTCTCAATAGCAGGCCTCAAAAGAGCTCTCTCGGTCCCACCTACCTCACAGGGTGTCTGTTGTGGGGAGGGGAAGGGAAAGGAGATTGTAAACCACTCTGAGACTCCGAGTGAAGGGGGGGGGGAGAAATCTAATTTCCTCCTCCTCCTCTTCTTCATCTTCATTCAGATATATCCAGAAAATGGACAAAGAACTCTGCTCTGAGTAATTTCTATTTTGGACTAATGATCCTTTACCTGGCAATATCTGGGTTTGGGTCCACCAGAACACTGACGAATCTGAAGAACAAAGAGCCTTTCCACTTGACAAACTCCTCCTACCAAGAGTGAGAGAGAGCGGATAGCAGAATTAGGGTTAACTATACTTAATGCATGTTAGGTTCTCAAAGCAGTGGTGTACGTTCAGAATCAATCATTGTACATACATCCGATTTCCCCCTAAGTTTCTACTCCCCTCCCAAAATGAATTTCTCCCCCATGAACCCAGGTTTGCCAGAAATGTTATATCTCTAAATGATGCAATTATTACTCCGTATCTTGTACTTTCCCTAGATTCAGGGCATGTCTGCACTTGGTACTACATTAGAATTCTGTCCCCCGGCAGTCCAAATTCTGCACCACAGCAGGATAAACATTCTCCAGCTGAAATGTATATTATGGACACTGAACATTTGCATGCCTGTTTTAATTTGCATCATGTCATCTGCCACGTTTCCTGTGTTGCAAAAATTATTCCGGATTAGCTGGCTGTGGAAGGCAGAACACAGAGCCATGTGCAGAAGTCCTGCCTCAAACCAGACAGAAGGCTTAATAAGACACCCGCCAGCCTATTTTCTCAGTATAATGAAATACAAACCGGGAACATGGTGGGTAAACAATGCAACACCACGTAAAAACGTGTTTCATTCTATACTGAAATCATTCTAACAGGTTAACACTCCCGTATAACCGTATGCTGTGCTTTATAAGTAGTACTGCAATCCCAACTGTGCCTATTTAAAGATGTGTACATCAATCATGTCAGTATCTTTCTACTGACATGAAAGATTCTCAGACACTAAGAATAGGGTATCGCAATTTTTAACAACCACGTTATATCTGAAAAGCTTTCTTTGCGATGAGATCATTAGAAGGCCTCTTACCAGTGGTAAAGCAAAAAGTCTTTATACTCTTATAGCAATCCAAAACTGCTTCGCAGCGATCCAGCTTACCAGAGCTGAGTGCAGCGACACACTGCATGAGATAGCAGAGCAGTGGATTGGGAAACGTGGCTACCAAAGAAGCACGACAGGTGCAGTGCTCACCTGGAGCAGGTTGGTCAGGAGGATGAGCGTCTGCTTCCGGATGAAAGGCTCCGGGTCCTTCAGGCAGGCGGAGACATCAGGGATATACTTGTCCACCATGGTGGTGTAGCGGATGCAGAGGTCGCAGATCACGATGACGACGTTGTTGCGGATGGCCATGTCCTTCGACACCTCCAGTTCCCGAGCCAGGGCTGCAATGCACTGCTTTGCCAGGTCCTCATGCTGCAGGCAGAGCTTACCTATCACAGAACCGGAGGGGGAGGCTGAGCGGGAGGGACTGGGGCTCGGAGAAAGAGCATCTGCTCCGCACACAGAAGGTCCCAGGTTCGATCCTCGACCTCTCCATTTGATAGTTCAGGTAGTCGAGGATGAGGAAAGACCTTGATCTGAGAGCCAGGGCAGCCATTGTCAGACAGAGCAGACAAGATAGACTTGATTCGGATACTTTTCTAGTGGTGATGGGCTGCGGCTCAGTGGCAGAGCATCTGCTGTGCATCCAGCAGGTCCCAGGTTCAATTCCCGGCCATCTCTGGTTTAGAGATGTAAAATTTCCGGAAATTTTGAAACTCGGAAATTTTCGGAAAAATTGAAAAAATGCTACATTAGCATTTCTTTTGTCTTTTCTAGATTGAAAAGTCATCCTGTTACTTTAGGAACATAAAATATGACTATGGACATTTTTACTTGGCATGAAATTATCACAACTAGCATATTAAAAATATAGTGTATCCAAACAATTATTTCAAACAGAATACCCACCCACATGCAAAAACAAAACTGAAACCTTTTTTATTTTCTTCTGACAATCGCACCTCCTAAAGGAAGAAATGCATCTTGTTCTTGCATTGGAGGGTTCAGTTTGTAACCTAGGACTTGCTTGTCCTCAGTGCACAGAAATTAGATCAATCTGATACTATATATATATAGTATCAGATTGATCTAATTTCTGTGCACTGAGGAATGTTAAAATAAAACATTCCATAATCAATTTTTTTTCCTTTTTTCAATTTTTCCAATTTTTCGGAAAAAAACAAAAAAGGCTTCAGGGAAAAAAAACGGGGGGAAGTTTCCCCCCCGAAGTTTTCCGGTTTTTTCACATCTCTACTCTGGTTAAAAGGACCAGGCAGAGGGTGATAGGAAAGACGTCTGCCTGAGAGCCTGGAGAGCAGCTGCCAGTCAGCTACTTATAGACATCACTGCCACTGATGGACCAATGGCCCGATTCAATATAAGACAGCTCCGTGTGTGCATGCGCGTGTGTGTGCATGTGCACAGCCATAGCAAAGCACACAAAAGCAGAGCCTGGACAGAAGAAGAGTATCAGAGACAAATGACCCTACGACTGAATCGTCATCTCAAGACAGAGAGGTTTCAAGAGCATGGGGAGACCCCACTGCAAGCCTTTCCTTGGCTAACACAAGCTACAGACCATCTGGCCCTCCCACTGCTGCCTTTGAAGAGTGCTTGTTTTCCCCAACCCCCCACTCATAGAATCAAAGAATCATAGAGTTGGAAGCAGTGCTCCCTCTAAGCTGTGGAGTCTTGTGAGCAAAAATCCTACTTTGTGAGCTCCTGGCATTAAAGTTGTGAGCGAGCCATTTGGCAGCTGCATCAATTAGCCTGCTCTGGAGCCACCCTTCTGGAGCGAAGGCAAAAATGTGTGAGCCAGAGGCTAAAAAACTGTGAGCTAGCTCACACTAACTCAGCTTAGAGGGAACACTGGTTGGAAGGTTCCTCCAGGGTCATCTAGTCTCCTGCACAGGGCAGGAAATTCACAAATACCTCCCCCCCCTCCACACACACACACACACACACACTCAACAGTCAAATTTGTCCCTATGAGCACAGATCTATGGGTGGTCTCTACTGACAAACTGGGGTTTAGACTGCCAGCCTCCTTTCACCATCAAAGGGTGGAACCCTATGAACAATCGCGGCATGCCGGCCGCCCAAGAACTCCGCAGGTGGCAGCTCCAACCACACAGAGGTTTTACAAGCCGCTGCAGCGATCAAGAATCCACGTGGGCTTTTTCGGCCTCCCCCTCTTCCCCTTGGCTATTCGAGTGGGGTGGAAGGTGGTAAAATGCAGAACCTTAAAAAACTAAACAGGTGGCAGGCAGCTAGCTGCATGGTAACCCGTCGTAAGTGATCAGGTGGGGAAGCTTTAAATCGGTAGAAGATTTCTGAAAATGTGCTTTGATGTGCTAACAAAGGCAAAGGGCAGGTGAGTGTTAATGCTTGTGCATTCGTTCACAGAGCTGGGCTAGCGTCAAGGAGAGAATGGCACGCCCACAAGATTACAGCTGCTACATGGGAAAAATTTAAGCTGATATCAGCTGCTAAGTGACTGAGCAACTCAGAAAAATCTCACTTAACAAAAATTAAAACCAAGTTTCTATTCTTCATGGCTGCAGAGGAAAAGAAGAAGCGATTGGATTTATATAGCCCGCCCTTCACCACCTGAAGGAGTCTCAGAGCGGCTTACAATCTCCTTTCCCTCCCCCTCCCCATAACATACACCCTGTGAGGTAGGTGGGGCTGAGAGAGCTCTTGACAGAAACTGCTCTTGAGAGAACAGCACTGAGAGAACTTGGGACTGACCCAAGGTCACACCAGCAGCTGCATATGGAGGAATGGGGAATCAAACCTGGTTCTCCCAGATTAGAGTCCGCGCTCCTAACCACTACACCAAACTGGATCACAGAATCTCAGCTGGTTCCACTGATATCAGTGACAACCCGGAAGGGAGGAGATCGAGAGAAGACTGTGTGCCCAAAGAATACCGCCACCTACCTAGTGTAATGAAGGCGTGTGCTCGGACCACGGAAGGCATCACGGAGCCTCTGAACTGGGACAATGGCTGAGTTGCTGGGCGATCGTCATCATCGTCGTCGTCACCTGCAGGACCCGATGCTAGAATCAGCAATCAAAGGTCAGTATAAGCTTTAAAAAGGTAAAGGTTCCCTTGCTCGAAAGCCAGTCGAGTCCGACTCTAGGGTTGCGGTGCTCATCTCCGTTTCAAAGCCGAAGAGCCAGCGCTGTTCGAAGATGTTTCCGTGGTCATGTGGCTGGCATGACTAAACACCGAGGCGCACGGAACGCTGTTACCTTCCCACCGAAGTGGTCCCTATTTATCTACTTGCAATTTCTTGCTTTCGAACTGCTAGGTTGGCAGGAGCTGGAACTAGAGACGGGAGCTTACTCCGTCATGCGGCACCCCGGGTCTCGAACTGCTGAACTACCAACCTTCCACAGCCTGCAGTTCAGCGTCTTAACCACTTGAGCCACCACAGCTCCAAAGGAGGTACCAATTACATTTTGCAAACTGCAGGACAAGTGGAGGGAAGTCCTTACATCAGCGTTCCCCAACATGGTGCACATGGGCACCTTGGCTCCTGCCGGCACTTTCCCTGGCACCCACTTACCTCTTCAGAAAGTGGGCCACTGTAAAGCAGGGTGTGTTATTAGCGGCCTTTGTTTAAATGAGAGGGCTTTCTATGGCTGCAGTAGTCAGTGTGTGGCTTTCCTTAGTCAGTGTGTGGGCTTATAACCCCTTCGAGCTTTCCTTCTTCTTATCCCCCCCCCTTTCACTTTTTCCCTTCCCCCTTTCTACGATTCTACTGCAAAACTAGGAGGAGGGTATCATGTCTGGCCCCGCCCCCTGCAGCAGCCATTCTGGGTTTGGCTCTGCCTCCCGCAGCATCCATTTGGGGATGGCACTCACCACCTCTTCAAAAAAATCCCTACGGTGCCCATAGGCTCAAAAAAGGTTGGGGACTCCTGCCTTACACTGTTCCGCAGCAACGGGGCTTGCCAAGATGGACTGTATCAGCAAGAAGATCCGCTTCTCCACTTTAGCTGGGCACAGTTGAGCGGCCTCGCCCAGGGTGAAGAGATGCCTCACCTGCCAGGGGAGGTCAAAAGGGAAACAAAACAATAATCAGCAAAAACAACAGGAAGCAATTTTTCTCCAAGCCAGTTTGGCCAGGAATCCTCCTGGAGGTTTTTTGGTCATCTTCTGGGCATGGAACAGATGTCACTGAGAGTGTTGGGGGGAAGGTATTTGTGAATTCCCTGCATTGTGCAGGGGGTTGGACAGAGCAAACTAATTGATGCAGCAGCCAAATCGCTCACTCATAGCTTTAATGCCAGTCGCTCACAAAGTAGAATTTTTGCTCACAAGACTCCACAGCTTAGAGGGAACATTGGTCATCTGTGCATTCACAGCAATGGGGTTAGGCGCCTGCGCCAACTCCGGTTCAGGAAACTTCAAGCTACCGGCTGGTCTAAAGGAAGGTAGGAACTCAAGATTCAATCGGGGGAAAACCCACCCTGCACGGTCTGACTTACCAAGGCGTCCTCTTGTAGCTGCTCTGCCCCTCCCTCTTTTAGGACAACACTGGAGATGCAGCTCTCACACACAGACACGAGACCCCCACAGATCTCGTTCAACAGCGCCTGTTTGCGATACGGAGAGAACAGGGTTTCATGCTTGCCAAGGAAGCAGAAAAACAGGTCGCCTACCTGCAACAGACAATCTTCGAGGGGTCATCTGTGCATTCACATCTATGGGGTTAGGCGCCTGCACCAGCTCCGATTCGGGAAACTTCTATCAAGCTCGAAAGGATTCGGAGCCCCGCCTCTGAGCATGCCCAGAGACTCCAACCATGCATGCCCAGAGGGCGGGCCCCCGGTTTCCCGCCAGTTCCTTCTGACTGCTGCCAACCCCGTGGAAAACAAACCAAAGGAGCTGACAGCAGAGGAACAGAACCATTACTCCTTTCCTTCTTTCCCGTCCCAGGTACCAGTCTCCAAACGGGAAAAGGAAAGCTGTCTTGGAGCACCTTATTGACAAGGTGGAAACCCCAGATAATGTGCTTGAGAAGAGAGGTTTTCTCCTTTAACGAGAAACCTCTTCCACAAGAAGAAGAGAGATGAGAAGAGATTGGATTTCTACCCTGACCTTCACTCGGAGTCTCAGAATGGCTTGCAATCTCCTTTCCCTTCCCCTCTCCACAACAGCCACCCTGAGAGAGCTCTTTCAAAGACTGCCCTTGAGAGAACAGCTCTGAGGGAACTTGTGACTGACCCCAGGTCACCCAGCAGCTGCATGTGGTGGAGGAGTGGGGAATCAAACCCCGTTCTCCCAGATTAGAGTCCGCTTCTCTTAACCACTACACTAAACTGGCTGCACCAAAGAGGGTGATATGGGCTTATTTGGGAGCACAGATCTAGGATTCAATAGATGACTTTATCTAAAAATCCAGGGACCCAGCTAGGGTTGCCAGTCTCCAGGTGGTGGCTGGAGATCTCCTGGGATTACAACTGATCTCCCAGCAACAGAGATCAGTCCCCTTGGAGAAAATGGCTGTTTTGGAGGGTGGACTCTATGGCGCTATTTCCCCGCTGCAGTCCCTCCCTTCCTTAAACCCTGCCCTCTCAGGCTCCACCCCAAAATCTCCAGGAATCTTCCGATTCAGAGTTGGCAACCTAAGACCCAGTAGACAAATCTCAGTTTGTTAAAAAAATGTTTTTTTTCGGGGGGGGGGGGGAACCTCCCAAAAATCGCTGACATCTGACGAATCTCCCAAAACTTGATGGCATCTTTGCCTGCATAGGCATGCCTCCCTCCCTGCAAAGTTTGGTCTGCACTGTGGGTGGTAAAGTGACCAACTCCAGCATGGGAAATTCCCAGAGA